GGGATCAGATCCGGGAGGCCGTTCCTCCCAATCACGCCCTTCCAGATCTCGCTGTCGTTACCCACATGAGCACTGAAGTCTCCCAGTAGGACAAAAGAGTCCCCAGGAGGCCCCACTCAGGGACTACAAGAAAGCTGGGTACGCTGAACTCGGCACACAAGCACAGACCACAGTCTGGACCCATTCCCTGACCCGAAGGCGAAGGGAACAAACCCTCTTGTACACTGGGAGAAACCCCAATATACTAGCAGCAAGCCAAGGGGATAACAACATATCCACCCCAGCCCAACGCCTCTCACCAGGGGCAACTCCAGACTGAGACAGAGTCCAGCCCCTCTCCAGGAGACTGGTTCCAGAGCCCAGGCCATGCGTTGAGGTGAGCCCGACTATATCGAGCGGGTACCTCTCAACCTCACGCACTAGGTCAGGCTTCTTCCCCACCAGAGAGGTCACATCCCATGTCCCAATTGCCAGTCTTGGTAGCCGGGGATCGGTCCGCCAAGGCCTCCGCTCCTGGCCGCCGCCCGACTCACATTGCACCCAACCCCTACAGTGCCTCATGCGGGTGGTGAGCCGGCAGGAAGATGGGCCCATGTCCCTCTTTCGAGCTGTGCCTGGCCGGGCCCCATGGACTAGGGCCCGGCCACCAGACGCTCGCCTTCAGACACCCTCCCCGGGGCTGGCCCCATGGCGGGGCCCCGATAACCCTATCCCGGGCAGGGTGAACTGTTCCCTCGATGGCCTTTTCATAGGGGTCAAAAATTATGTTTGCAAACATAATTTAGTTTTTTTTTAAAGGTTCTTACTAAAATAATTTGTTATCATTTTAAAGATGAAAATATATCCTGAAAAAAAAATACATCAAAGTTATCTAGAAAACAGGCAGTATGACTATATATATTTCTTTTTGACTTATAATCATGTCGTGTACTGTGTGATGTCCAAATAAAGTACAGTGGAAACATTTTTTAAAAGCCAGAAATCACACATTCTGACACCATAGGGTTAGGGATTATATTGATTTATCCCTCACATGGATAATTACTTCAGCAGATAACAATTGAATTAATGCAGGGATACTTTTGCATAAAGTTTCTTAACCTAGCTTTGAAAAGGTGCTGTTTAGGTCTTAGGAATATGTTTAATAGTAGGTTTACTGTTGTAAATAAGATGTTATTGTTATAAATTACTGTGCAGTGCTCGCTAGAATGTACATGCACTACAGCTGGTTTCTGTCTTAATTCTGAACTCTGGCCACGTGTAAAGTTACACAGTAAGAGTGACTGATGATGATGTCTTGCGACAGTGGTAACAGCAGTTCAGATGATTTATGTACAAAGTAACTGCCTTTCTCCTACTTCCTAAATTCCAGGATATGATTGTAAAATGTTTGTTTTACTATTTTAAATATCAAAAAAACAGTTTTGTAGGAAAACAGAAGGTAAAAAAAATGGAAGTCAAGGTGAATAACTTTATTGATTTAGGTGGCTTCTGACTGCAAGTTGTTTAGAACTCGACAACAACAATGGAGTTAAAATGATAGAAGAATTGCAGCAGAGTCGGAAAGAAGTTGAAGGATCGGACTTAATAGCTGGCCATGGTTTGCTGAATCCAGTCGTTGAAGATGCAGACCTGTGAATGGAAACAGATCAAGGTTTGCTATTAAAAAGAGGATGATGGGATGATGAAAGTTCCACAATGAGAACTTTTTTTCACATAGCTGTTGACAATCAAGAACTTATTTAGCTTTACCTTGGTATAGACACCAGGGTGGTCCCTCTCAGCACATCCGTAGCCCCAGGACACAATACCCTGCAGCTCACCGTTGCACACAACAGGGCCACCAGAGTCACCCTGAAAATAAAAGTAAAGAAAACAAAGATGGATGTCAAGAAATTATTATTT